TACGTCTGCTTCTTTCAAGATGAAATCTGTGCCTTCTTGGAGTCTATCTGGATCGAGATGTTTCCATGATTTCGCCAAAGTCTGCATCAAGGTGTCTGTATCCAATTTAGATTTCACAGAATGTCGCTTATCTGCAAGGTCACAGTTCGATATTTGCTTAACTGGTTCGAGAGTTCCAATAATGTCTCCTTCTTTTATTCTTACTGTTGCGGAAGAAACATTGGCAATTCTTATCATAATGTCCCCATTTGTTCTTACTAGAGTCTTCCCAACAAGAAATCTTTCTGGTTTATCTCCAATAAAATAACGTGTTAGTCCAACGCAGCACCCAGGGTTTCTTTCTAATCTTCCACAAATGATCTTCTCAGTACTTCCAGGAATCCTCACTGGGGTTGTGGCCAAGATCTTAACGGCATCGGATTCTTATTGTGTTGTTAGGACAATTTCTTCATTACCAAATTTAAGGATGTTCATGGAAGGATCAAAAGAGAAACCATGTTGGCCGATCAAATCCATTCCCAAAATGAAATCATCTTCTATATCGGCGACTAATGTTCTGTGCCTGAAGGTGGTAGATCCAAAAGTAAGCTCAATCATAGCTTCTCCTTGAACTGGTGCAGATTCGCCGGTGACTGTTCGTAGTGACAGATTTCTAGTGGATTGCCCGAGACTTGACTAATGTTCTTCTAATTATGGAAATTTCAGCACCCGTATCAAAAGTGATGGTTTTTAATTCTCCATTAATTTGTCCTTCGAATTTTAATCCTCTGTAATGACTGCCCAATGATTTTATGTAAAGAACCCTGGGGGCTTCGTCATTACTAACCAGCATTCGCCCCTCCATACTGGTTAGTTCTCGTTTCCCTGTCTGTTATTAGGGCTGGCGTCTCTCGATCTCAAAAAGCGTTGGAAACGATCCCTTGATGGAGAGGACATCCTTACTCTACAATCTCGTTGAATATGCCCATGCTTATGGCACCGGTAGCACTCTATTCGGTTTCTCGGGGTTGGTGTTTGTCTGGAATCGTTTCCCATTTGTCTGTCTTCTCGTAATATTTTCTTTATATCCTCCATGAAATGACATGACATTCTCGAGACTACCATCCTCTTTTGATGATTGCTTTTCCTTTGGGTCCTCAATGGACACTGCTCGTATTCTGGGTCGTGAGGCACCAAAGATTGCTTCTAGTTCTAATGCTCGGACAAGAGCTTCGCTACTTTGTCTGAACTTGGACATTCTCAGGTTTTCCTGGATCTTCGAATCTCTGAGACCATCAATAAATGCAGATACTGCCATCCATTCCTGCATGTCTTCCCCAGCTGCAGGAAACGCCAAACTCACTAGCCTTTTAACTTCCGATTCGAATTCTTGTAGACTCTCGCCGGGTTTTTGAACTCTTGATTTAACTTGAGTTCTGAATACTTCTTGTCTGTAATGGTCTCCAAAGCTCAATTCTAAAGTTTGACTAAGATGCTGGTAATGCTGTTGGTAGATTGAAGGAATGGATTGAAGAAGATCCTCGAGAAGATCCCAGGCAGGTCCTCGTAGCGCCACTATCAGTCCTGTAGTTTTTTCTTGATCATTTCATCCGTTGGTGTTTGCAGCAGCTTCAAATTGTCGAATATACATGGTCCAGGATGTAGAACCGTCAAAAGTTGGTGGTTTTATCTTCATACTGGAGAATGCTCCAACACTAGCTGGATTGATAGACTGTATTTCTAATTTACGCATCTTATCTTCGAGTGCTTGAACTTGGTCCTCCACTTCTTGTGTTAATTGCTGAACATCGTCTTTAACTTCTTGAACATCGGTTTTGACTTCAGCTTTTACTTCCTGAACGTCGTGTTTAACTTCTTGCAAATCGTCTTTAACTTGTTCAATCTTCTGGTGTAGGTTAGCGACAGTTTCTTGTATGGTTTGGAATATCTTCTGCAGTTGTCGAATGTCTTCTTGTCGTTCTTGTTGTCGTCTAGCTTCTTCTTGTTTTTCTTTTTGTCGCCTGGCCTCTTCGTCTTGTTTTTCTTGTAGTCGTTTAGCCTCTTCTTGTTGTCGTCTAGCTTCTTCTTCTTGTTTTTCTTTTTGTCGCCTGAGTTCTTCGTCTTGTTTTTCTTGTTGTCTTCTAGCCTCTTCTTGTTGTCGTCTAGCTTCTTCGTCTTGTTTTTCTTGTTGTCGTCTGGCTTCTTCGTCTTGTTATTCTTGTTGTCGTTTGGTCTCTTAAAGTTCCAACATTTTGCGCAGAAGTTCTTCAACTTTTTGTTCGTCCATTTTTGCTTGTCGTCTTGTGATAGGCATATACAGAAGGTTCTAGAATTTCCCTTGAACTTTCTTCAAATATCTTTTCTGGTCTTTGCTCGAAGTTCCAAACACGCCGGTGAAGTCACAAATTGGATAACTTGCTTTATTCTAGAATAGAATATTCTGGAATTTTCTTGAAATTTCTTTTCTAGATGTCGATTGATACAGCAAACACGTCGTTGAAGTCACAAATTCGATATCTCCCTTAGTTTCCAAATAGAATTTTCTAGAACTCACTCGAAGATTCACTATCACAGTCAAATTCGGGTATAGAGTTACTTCCTAAGTAATTTACACGATCGGTTAAGCCTCTTTTTGTGATTGTCACTGTTTGCACTGAATACTGAATAACTGTCCCAGTGTTCAGTTCAGTTCACTAAGGCCCGGTTGTACAACGGACGTTCAACCGAAGTTCACACTGACTAGTGGTTCAAAGGAAAAACTCGTTGTACATGGTCGGTTCAGAGTGTGAACTGAGGTTGATCTTGAACGTCCGAATTTGGGCGTTCAAGGGGAGTTCAAGTCTTTTTTGGGTTTTTCTAACCTGACTCTCCTATGTTTTGTTTGTTTTTTGATAAAGGGATCACCATGGCTTTTGAATATATATTTTTTTTCAAGTGGATATTCGTTATTTTATATTCAATTGAAAATGGATCTTGAGTGGGAACTGTGGGAAGATATTACAGATGACAAAGATTTTTTAAAATTACTTAACTTTATGTTACATATAAATTATGTACTTCCTCGAGCCCCACAGATATTTAGAAATCAAATAGCGAACAGATCATTTGAACATTTGTAATGATAAAGAATAATGCAAGGACAGATTCAGTTTGGAGAAACAGGCAGTGTGATTTATCATAGATGAAATTATGCATCTATGACCTGTCCTGTGTGTAAAAAAAATATGAAAATTGAAATTAAATAAATAGTAAACAAGATAACACAAAAAATAAACAATGAATTTGATAGGTTATGGGTTGGGTTGCGCCTATTTTCTTTCTTCTTTTTATTGTGGGCATTGCAACTGATGGTTCAGGTAAACCGGCAGTGGTACAACACTCGAAACTTTGAACCACGTTCAGCAGTGAACGAAGGTTCAACAGAACTTGTGTTGAACCATTCTTTGTACAACCGGGCCTTAGTGTTCAGTTTTTACACTACACCCTGTCCCCGCACTTCCGCAAATGGATTTCACTCTGCAGTCCTTTATGTCTCACTTCTGACACCAATTGTCACAGCTTTGGATTGCCTGACAGAAATCTTGGGTTCGTTGTTCGTTTCGTTTATTCCAAAAATCAAAGTCCAGTTAACACAGCAATAATTTATTCCACGTAACAATACACTCTGACACTAATTACTCTAATAGCTAACTCAACAATTAAACTCTTTACAATCACTATTTAAATCGTATCACAGTTGAACTGAAACTTAAAACTTCAAAGCAATAGCGTCCTTTATATATCCCTAAATCTATTCCTGTAAAATCTAGAATACACACGTTAATCCTATTTTCTCGATTAAAGTAAATAATTCACTATAGATTCCAGGTTATTCGACAGACTGGCGGATGCAAGGATTCTTGACACATTGGCGGACGCTCGTCACATTATATTCGTACGCGATAAGTATTTAACAAAAATATTTTATTTTTTGCACTGGGGCTATATTAAACTATTTATTTTATGAAAATGTTATTATGATATAAATTTAATATTTATAAACTGGTGAAAAATATAAAATTTTAAACTAAACTGCTGGACAATTGCTTTCGAACAGAAGAAAAATTTCGCCTAAATTTCAAGGTCAATATTTTTGGAACCAGACCAAATATCGACCTGCGGTTTTCATGAACTAACAGATTGACTTTTTGTGAGAAAAACTGTATATAGAAACAAGAGGTTGATGTTTTGGTTACAAAAATATCGAATTTTTTCTTCCGTTCGAAAGCAATTGTCCAGCAGTTTATTTTGGTATCTACCTTACATATTCTAACAAGTGTCTCGAGCAACTCTTCTTTTCTTAACGAATCTTAAAATTCAAAATAGGCTTCAACATCAAAGGAACATAGGTTCGTTTGATGTTGAATTTCGATTTATCTTCGATAATAGGTCTGTTCTCACAAAAGTCCCTGACAGTTTGCAAACTGTCAGTAACAATCGCTCAGCTAAGTTACTGACTTATCTTGGAACGAAGGCATTGAAAACCTGCATCGGCGATGCATCCGACAGTTTGCAAACTGTCAGAGACTTGTGGGAACAGACCCAATAAGAGCCGCGGGACTGTAAACGCGTTGATTGGTAACACCAAAGTAGCATGAGACGTCTGACTTGCTGCTAGAAAGCAAGAAGCACGCAAACTATCAAAATATACGACGTGCGGTGGCCACGTCACATTTTTGCGACGCCACTCCAGTGTGAAACCTGCCATATAAAGTCTGTGTTTTTTTTTAAAGATAAAAGTCAAAATGACATTATGTTGGCAATACAATGTAAAATTGTCAATGCTTTCAATTTTTTTGTGTAGAAAAGGCTTATGTTGCCAACATAGTTACTAAATTTCTGACTTGGGTAATTACCTTTAAAAAAAAAACAGACCTTATTTCTAAAGGTTCTAAAATAAGTAGCATGCTTCTTGCTTTCTAGCGGCAAGTCGCACGTCGCATGCCACTTTGGTGTGAATATCCACTAATTGACAAACCTACCTTTGGAATTCGTCTAGACCACAGCAATCCGGCTTTTTGGAGACCATTGAATTTTTGCGCCACGTAGTCCTCATGTTTGGCTCTTCTGACACTTTGCAGGTGCAAGTAGTTGTCATTGACAAAAATATTACGACCATCTTCACGGACTGTAGTCTCTGATAAAGATAGAAAAAAGAATTACTATTATTTACTTTTTTCTACAACTGTCAAAAAATGATTTAGTTTACGAAGTGATACTTTTTATCCCAGGTATTGATTTTTTAACGTTCCCATGGTACCAGTGTGCGAACTACCTATTTCGCACCCTAGTGCGCGAAATAGCTAGTTCGCACACTGGTGTCATGGTGACACATACCTGTCAAGATGCCAAAAATAATTAAAATTCACCTGCCTTTGATTGGAAATGCAATTTTGACTTCGAATGATCGATATTTGAATGGAGTTGTAGAAAAAATATTGTTTGAAACTCGGGCGTGAAATATTTTTGGTGATCTGACATTTCGCGCACTTGATACAAAAATAACTATTTTGGTAATCGTTTTATAAAGTGATTGTATTGCTGGCTGCGGACATCATCTTGGATTAGCATTGAATAATTTCACACAATAAAATAAGTGAAAAAAGTCGCCTGGCCATTAAATAGTTGGTCGAATTCCTAGTTTCTATCATTCATGAATAATAAATATTTTGATCAGATTTATAACTAATCTAAGTTTTAGTTTATACGAAGTCAATCCGAATAGCATAAAAACTGTGTAGGCGGCATCTTCTTATGAAATTAAGCATATGCGTGAAACAGCCTAGAAATTAGAATTAGAATTCTTCGTATAAACTTTATTACGTAATTGAAATAATGTGCATAATTTTAGTATTAAATGCATCATCAACATCATCATAGGTATTCACTCGCTAACGAGTATTAAGACGAATCTTGACAGCATCATTATCTGTGTGTTTTTGAGCCACAATTCTCATACATTGATTGCACCTCCAATCAGTGGTAGCTGATTGCTCTTGTAAACCTAGGTTTTTATCAGACGTTCTCGTTCTTTTCTCCGATTTCATTTGGACTCCGCATTTCTTCGCATTTGTCATTCGAAATACTCCGAGCCTTGATAAATATAAGTAATTTTCGAAAAAAAAAAATCCGCCGGGACCTCAGACGCCCACTAAGGACTTGAGGAGATCTTTGTGTTGTGTCAATTGCCATCCTTTGCTCCGTTGACCAGTTGGGAAAGAAATCACTTTTCTTAACACCTCAGTTGCCGTCTCGAAAGTGCTACTTTGCGCACACTCGTGGTAACTTGTATTTTTCCTAATTAGTGCGCGAAGTTATGTCTTCCCGCACGCAAAAGCAGTTAGAATAAATACCCTTCAGGTGCGGGAAAACTACTTTGCGCACGTGTTGGGAACAATATTTTCTCTACGAATGAAATAACTATACCTACATTTGTGTTTTTATTTTTTATTTTTATTGGTATCAAAAACAACAACCTATGCAACTACCTATACCTAGAAAATATATTGATGAAACTCATGAAAGGAGGAATTGGCAAAATTGGATAGTGATCCTATGTCTAGCGGCAACTGCTCCATGGGCTCTCCTAATGGTGGAGAACTATTGATTGTACTCTCGAACACTATCGATAGTATTAACTATCGAAGCGCAATCGATTGTTCCTTCTGACTATCGATAGTAGCTTTTAGCAAATTCTATTAGTAAACTCAGTGGCTCTCAGTGCGTACTGAGTGTATTTGTGCCTGTTTCAGCCAGCATGTGAAAGAAAAGGACAGAAAAACATTTTTATGCACTGCTGTTACCAATAGGAAACGCTTTTAGTTTCGTATTCGAGTAGTGCGAGTGCGTCACAAAGGTAATGCGCACTCATCGAAGTGCGTGTTCCGTGTAATGATCAAAATTGTAAGGTTATGATTCCAGAAGTTGAAATTTTTTAGGGTTTTCATTTTCACTTCAGTAGTTAATTTCACTTTCTTTTTTAAGAAAGTAAGAATCTAATTTTTTTAACTCCTAAGTGGCTGAACTTAGCGGCTGGCACCAAGAATCGTAAACTAACAGGATTGCTCATCCTAATAAGGCTTACGTTCACCAATTCTCGAGTCGACAGCTGGTCTGCGAGTGACGTCACCACTATCGACGAAATTCGCCCAGAGCGATATTTACCTAGAGTGCACCCAGAGATTAAAAAATATATGAACGGGCGGAGCGTAATTCTTGTCAGCATTATCAACAATCATCCGTCAATGGTCAAATTCGTGAAATTCATCTTGACCCAACTTTTTAAATAGGAAAGGGAAAATGTGTTGCTTATTAGTTTGATAATCCATCCATTATCAGTTTGAAATTTTCGGCTAATTCCAACTTCTATTTGATCCAAATTATCAGCTTCGACTCGAACTTCAAGAATTGAAAATCTGAACCCAAAATCGAGGGGTAAACCACTCTGCGCAATACTGTCACAAATCGCGCGAAATCTCTGCGCAATCATGCGAAATCGCGCGCAATCATGCGCAATCGTTGCGAAATCAGGCGAAATCGGGCGCAATCGTTGCGAAATCCCGCGCAATCCTTGCGAAATCCTGCGAAATCGCCAGCAATCCCGCGAAATCACTTAACTTTGCGAAGTCGGAGCCTCGTTCAAATGCGGAATTTCAATGCTGACCAATCAGAACTATTTAAAGAAATTGACTTTTGTAGTCATAATAATCGTTGTATAAACGATTTTATAATTATTGTGTGTCACCAGTGTCTGTATATCAGTTATTAAGTGATAATTAGCTTTTATCTACAAGCGTTTGGTTATGACGTTTTTACATAACTATTTTTCCAGTATTTGAGTTATGTTATGAGGCTCATAACATAACTAGTTGTGTTATGGACTAGGTTATGAATTCATAACACAACTAGTGGTGTTATGGTCATGGACAAGGTTATGAATTCATAACACAACTATTTTTGGTGATTTGACAAATGTCAAAGGTAAACCTGTAAAGGTAAAATGAAGGTATACAACGACTAATAAACGAAAATGATTGAAAAAAAATTCTTATTTTTTGCTTTGTAGATAAAAAGTTGTACAACACACGTGCGTTTAAACATGACTACAAAACTCGTGTGATCAGAACGACTCGGTCTACGACATCGTTGCTCTAATCTTTCACACTCGTTATTGTAATCATGTTCATAAACGCACTTGTAATGTAAGTAACTATTAACCTTCCCAGAAATTTAGCAGGTAAGTACCTACGTACCAATTATCCTATAGGAATTATTTTATAATATTTTGAGGTTAGTTTGAAAATCTATCTGTACCCCAATTTTTATTTTCCGGACGTAACTTGGCCTTGGCTCCGTCATTTTGAAATTTTGATTCTAAAAAAGTTTGTGTTTCAACTCAGCAGGGAACCGTTCATTTTACCGTCAGGATTCTGCGCAATACCTAAAAGGACCTCGCACATTTCTTATGGAAAAGTCTCGGGAAAAGTGATTTATGTGAAATTTTGCTGAATTTTTGATATAATGTAGAGGGAGTTGTCCTTAACAAAAGTTATCATTGCGCTTATGTTTAATACCGATTACCGAACAGTTTTTAAGATATTAATTAAAAACTTTTTCAATACAATAGTCTTTAGTATGACGTCACCAGTATGCTCACAGCACTGAAAATTATCACTTTCCTTTCTACTTTTGTTTTGACTATATTCTTCTCCTTTTAACATTAAGAAATAAAGAAAAAAAACAACAGGAGGTGAGTATAGTCAAAGTCAAAAGTGGAAAGAATAGTAATAATTTTCGGTGCTGTGAGCCTATGCTGTGAGCATACTGGTGATGTCATACTGAAGAGTATTACATTAAAAATGTTTTTAATTGATATCTAAAAAACTGCTCGGTATTAAACATAAGCCCAATGATAACTTTTGTTAAGGAGTTTAAGGACGACTCTCTATACACAATATCAAAAATTCAGCAAAATTCCAGATAGATCACTTTTCCATAAGAAATGTGTGGGGTCCTTTGTTTGTAGATTCCGAAAGTCGTATCCAGAAAGGTTTCGTGTTTTTGTGATGGTTTTTTGACGTGTTGGAACAGACGTATTTTATGGCGTAGCGTAGATAAAAAATGGATAGCTTATTTTTTTCGATTTTTTTTTTCAATATTAATTTTTTAGAGCCATTTTTTATTTGATGTGTGATTTTTCGTTTATGTTTGATGCGAGGTTTGTTGTGTTTAATGAGTAAAATATTTTTCACAAGCGAGATACAAACTAAATAACTATAAAGGATGATTTAGGTAGCCCGTGCATTAGCTTGCAGGTGGGGTCATATTAGAGACGAGGCCGAAAAATACAATATTGTAGTTGAAGGTTTCTTTTCAGATGGGGATTCTCGTTGTTTAAAAGCTATGAAAATAATGGCAGGCCTACCCGCTTCCTTCAACGAGGAAACGCCCTACTCACCCTACTTTCAGGTAATCCTGTATGTAATATTTAGGTATAAAATTAAAATTATTTATTATTTCAGGCAAATTTTTCTACAAGTAATCCAGTGGCAATTCAAGATACTGTACATATTGGCACTAAAATCAAAAATAGATTATTGAATCCCAATATTGCTTTGAAGATGATGGGAAATTACGAAGTATCCAAAGATCATTTGAATCATGTTATTGATAATGTTTCATAGATAGATAAACATTTATTGTGCTCTAGTGATTTGGACAGTAAGTATTACCATTATTATCAAATTATCTTGTTTCTTTGATACCTAATGCTTTCAGCATAGATAAACTAAAAAGTTAATATAGATGGATATTGAATAGAATATTATTTAGGTAGGTACCTATGTAAATACGACACCCTATCCAATTGTAATTGGAATTTTTTGCATGTAATTCAGAAAAGCTCACTTGTAGTATAGATTCTCCATATTCAGATCAAGATTCAGAAATCTCCATTTGTAATTATTAAGCAATTCCTAATTGTGAATCAGATAACATAAAATGTACTGTACCTACAGTTTTCTGGACTACAATAAACATAAGGATGTTCGAATATTTAGGTACATTGTTTTATGCGAGGTTTTATGAAGTTGAAACTGGTTGAAACCTAATTTTCTGAGTCTCTGTCGAGGTTGTCTAAATTACAAGGAGATTTTCTGAACTAGATGTGAAAAAACTGAATAACAAATCAAATTGTCTTGATTATCTATGGAAAATTTGAACTACATGTGAGATTTTCTGTATTACATTTGAAAATTCTAAATCACAAATTGGATTTTCTAAATTAAGTTTGGAAAATCTGAATTGGAACTGTTAGTTACTGAATTATAATTGGAAAAGGTGTAGTACTGGTCTAATCAGTAGGTAGGATTAACTATTTAGATAATAACTCTGATAGTAAGCTACCAAATTCAGCTAACATTTTTCCACTAATATATCTTTGAAGCACAATAATTTACTGTAGTACATTCCTACTTTACATATTTAAACTCTGACAAACATATTTTCCAGATACGGATAAAATGAATTTTGGAGCCATCGATAAATTGTCATCAACACGTGTAACTGACTTATTATTGGCCAAAGATGAATTCAAAGCAACTCGCCAACTGCTTATACTAACCTGATATATATTGGATTCATACCTTGATAAGTCGTTATCAATAAAAGAGAGGGTTTATTCAATTTGGTATGCAACAGTTTTTGTGCAACTGTGGCGGGCTTGGATTTAACAAAAAAACAACCGAGAAGGCAACTGCACATTAACAAAAAACTGTATCACTCTCAACCCCTACACTTGTGTAGAGTTAAATGCCCATGGTTTGTTGAATCTCATTGAAAAATTTAGAATCAATCCAGAACTTGTTTTGCCATGGTTTTATAGTAGCCAGCCATGTGAGAAATTCTTTAGACAGACCCGATCAATGACGTCAACTTGGTCAACTGTTGTTAATTTCGATATGTTGAATTTGCTGAGAAGGAGACACAGAATTCAGGCTATTGATAGCGTGATTCATGATTCAGGTATTCAATCACAAATGAAATAGATATTAAACAAATTTCATGTTTTGAAACTTTAACAATGTCATGATCATCAATCTGTGAAATGATTTTAAAAATTAAGTATTTACCTAACACATCTCCTATCATGAGAATTTTAATCAGATTTGACAGAGGATTTGTCTTTTGTCTTATTTTTCCTCATATTTCTTAAATTTTCAAACGAGATTGTTAATGTTTGAAAAAGATTTCTACCACAGCAGCATTAAGCTACTCAGTCTGAAATATTTAATTAACTCGAATTTTTTTTATAGGCGAGACATCTGTCTTCCCTCGAGAAAAAAATAAGAGACTGGGCACAAATTTAAGAAATAGGGAAACAAATATTCCAACCACTGAAGAAATTCATAAGATGATATTAAAGGCACGAGATGACGCAGTTGGTAACTGTAATTCACTTGGAATGTTACAAGCAAATGAAGAGGACGTGGGAGATATAGACCAAGGGCAAATATGTACTTCGCATTAAAACCAATGCCAAGGAAATGATAGTTAAAAAATCCACTTTGTGTTGGTTATTTTTCAAAAAAAAAAGGCCACTTGTCTAGTGATAGATTAATGCGATGCAAAAGTATGGGCGGAAGCAAGGTCTCCAAAAGATATATAAATACGAGCTTAAACTATACAAAATCCTCGAGAAAATCTCTAAAAAAATTAGGTAAAAAAACCGAGAAAACCTTCAAGAAAACTGATGAAAAGCTGAAGATTCAAAAGAGAAGAAATGAAAACGACTCAGATTCTGAAACCTCAATAAGCGATACTTATTCTCTGCAAAGTGAATTTGAAGAAGAGAGTTTCTCTGGAAATGAAGATTGTGGTAGTCAAAGTCAAACATCCCAGCAAATATTTAAAAAAATATCTATAAATCAAGAGGAATATTATGCAGTTTGTTACCAAAGATGGTACATTGGAAGAATCCTGAAAGTGATTGACCATGAAAGAAGCGAAATAAAATTTCTAAAATCGGATTTAGATGAATATACTTGGCCCAGGGAGGAAGACAAACAAATTGTGAACAACAAATTTATATTTTATGGTCCAATTCCATTATTAGGAAATGGGCCTTTTCAGCTGAAACGTAGCGATAAATTGAAAATTGAACAACTTTTCAGAATTATCAAGAAAAAAATTGAAAAAATATTTGTGATTTGGTTTCAATAAATGAATTTCTTACGTTTTCTTTTTTGTACATAGAGTGTTTTCTCTTGATATAGGTATAATATTCACTGAAAGAAGTACCAAATAAAATACTTCAAATTAGGAGAAATTCCGCGCAATCCCGCGCAGTCACGCGAAATCCTGCGCAGTCACGCGAATTCCTGCGCAGTCTCGCGAAATCCTAGGCAAATTCGAGAAATCCCGCGAAATCTTATACAATTCTGCGAAATCCCGTGCAATCATTACGAAATTTTGCGAAATCCCTAATTTTGCGCAATACTGTCACATTTTCACTCTAGTGGTTTACCCCTCAAAAATATCAAAAATCTCGTAGATTTCGAAGTTATCAAACACAAACGAAAACCTAAAATAAACGTGAAACGTACTGCGCATGTCGGGTCAAATTAATTATGAAAGCTGAACGCATTTGGGCGATCGGGGAGCGCCGGGCGTTCATTCACCAACGTACCCCACTATGCAAAATAAAAAAATATAACGATATATCGGATCATATGATACATCGAAATAACATATCGATACATTCGATATATCGAACAAAATACATCGATATTTTGAATATATCGATATATATTTTATTTTTATATTTTTTTCTACAAGCGTGCGAAAAGTGCTTTTTTTCTGCACGCATTTTTGGCTATGAAAATATCACTTTTCCGCACTAGTGTGGAAAAGTAAAATAATTAGTTAGGTCACCCTGATACTTTCATGTCCTAAAATGCGTGCGGAAGTGTAATGTTTCGCATGATCGTAGGAAAATAACGTTCCTTAATCATGCGGAAAGTCTCTTTTCCTCATTCAGTTGGTACGTACACGTCCATTATGACATTCGTTTTATTTTAGACTCCATTGTCAACTGTCAGACTGTCACAGTCAATAAATGAACTATGCGCACGAGCCAAGAATTATTTTAAAATTTCCGATATATAGAAAGGATTAAGCCCAGTACTCATAACTGCGAAATTCGCATTTTTTTGATATTGCGTTATCAATTTGACGTTTTATGCGTGTATCAAACGTCAAATTGTCAAAGCAATGTCAAAAAATGCGAATTTCGCAGTTATGACTACTAGGCTTTATATCGATATTTTTTTCGATATATCGAATGTAAAATATCGATTAAAATATATGGATATATTTGAGAAATATATCGATATTTACAAAATATCGATATATTTTTGCCATCCCTATACCCCAGTGTTTTATGGCCGTTTGCACCGACCATTCTAAGCAAGCCTTAGCGATAAGTATTCCTTAAAATTACATTTTTACATGGAGAAATGTCACTTTAAGGAATACTTATCGTTAAGGCTTCCTCAAAATGGTCGGTGCAAACGGCCATTAAACTCAGATAATAGAGAGTTATTGGACGTACAATAAGGACAAGCATATTTAAATTAGCCTTATTTTGACATCTAAGCATGCGCAATTGGGTCCGAAAATAAGGATTCCCTTAATAAAGTTACTGCTTGTCTTTATAATTGAGTATGGTTAGTGCGAGGCACTAAGGGCCGTTTGCACCGACCATTTTAAGAAAGCCCTCGAGGAAGCCTTAGCGATAAGTATTCCTTAAAGTGACATTTCTCTATGTAAAAATGTCATTTTAAGGTCGGTGCAAACGGCCATAAACTTCCCCTATTTTAAATTTCTGACATTCTGGACGACTTTGACGTTTCGCTTTTCGACGATGACGTAATTTTACTTAGAAAATTTATTTTTTACAGTAGTTCTCAATATTACTGTGGGTAGCATCGAAAAATGGGTATCAGCAGAAAATCACAAACAAAAATACCTAAACACTTTTTGAAGTTGAAATTTATAAACATAACTATCAGCTGTCAAAATTATGAATACAAAATAAGGTAGGTAATACTCTAGCACCTACTACAGTCTTCCAATAACTGTTTTTTTCTTGGAAAAATAGTGCTGATGCACTAATAAAATAACGTAGATCCTTAATACTGCGAGGCAGTATTTAATAGTTTCAATAACTCTCTTATGAATGCATGTCACATTTTACGCCAAGTTTACGCCACGGCCCACGAGGGTCGTATTTTCGAATTAATTCGCGTACATTTCGTACAATCGTACATGAAATTTGACTGACAGCAATGTAAACTGAATGGGGAGCATTCGAAATCGTATTGAATTTCGTATGCGAAAATATTCGAAAATACGACCACTGAATACCTACTGATGAGGCTGACATGGCAGACACTTTCAGCTCAAGCAGTCCTATTAGGTTAAGTGTTCTTGCGCTGGGCACCGCCTGAATGTATCCTTTGGCCAAACACTTTAACACGACTCGCGCATGCGCCACGGAACAAAAGCTGAATGACAATAATTCCTATTCATTTGCAAAGAAAGATTTTTTTAATAAATTTAAATCAAAAACTGGCTTTCTTGAGAATTTGCATTTCAACGGGTCAAATTGATAAGTATAAATATAATTAAAGTTAAATTCCTTACCCGTTTCACTTTCAGACATCGATTCCATCAAAAATAAGCATCAAAATGAAAACTAGTCAAGCCTCGACTTTAAAAACTACAACAAACTAAAAACAGGACCACGAAACACGACGTAATAATTTATTATTTCGCTCACAAAACAGTGAAACAAAGAAACTCTTCGGCTTCGGCCTTTTACGAAACTTTACTCTTCCACGTGTTTGCGAATTTGGTTTTGGTAGCTATGATGTTGCCATTTCTTCTACGCAATATGATGATAAATCCAAAAGGAAAGAAATCTCTTTTATCGGCATTTTCCTTTGGTTCGGCGCTAACTTCACGCTTGACGCTTAACAGTGAGTTGGAGTCAAGGATAATACACACTACTACTGATTGCTTATCCAAGGATGATACACACTACTGTCTACTACTACAGGATGGCCTATCCTCGTAAGGTGTGTAACAAATCCCCCTCTTCCCCTCCCTCACCATTATACCAGTTGTGATGTAGGCAGCATGTTATTTCTCGCCTTGACGTAGGCTGTTTAAACAGCTGATGCAAGGTTCTCGTTTTTGGTTTTCGCCGCCATATTAGACTATCCAAGATGCTGTCAAACTTTATTTAAAATGTCCGCCAAGAGGCACACAATCCCTTTGTTCGTTTGTCAAAGTCACGATAAATGGCGGAAATTGCTTCCAACACGTATTCGAATTGATAAAACCTGTGTAGGTAAATATACCAAAACTTTCCAAAACGTCATATGTCAGCGAGCAACAGAAAAGAACAACATTCCATTCCCCCTTGAGACATCTTTCATGGCTTCATTTTTTTGGCGGATATGGCAATGTGTGCGCATTCCAGTTTTTGGCTATAGTTCATTGGGCTAGACTATCCAAGATTCTGTCAAACTTGAACTAAAATACAAGTAAAATGAAGACAGGGTCTCCATCTATTTTCTGATCGGCAAACTAAAAATTGCTACTAACAACTGTATAAACCAGTATTAAATTAGAGCAAATCGACTCGCAAAGGCATTCGCCACAATTGCGAGAATAGCTATTCTAGTTGCCAACCAGAAGTAAAGTCGGTTGGTACCGAAAAACATTGATATTAATTAGGTAACGGCCCAATTAAGGACCGATTGAGAAGTGTTTTATCTCTGCAAGACCATCCGTGGACGCGTTTCGCCATTTTTGGTTCCATACCGGGATGGAACCAAAAATGGGTTGTGTTTTCTCTCTGCGGGACCTAAACCGTGCTGATGAGCTGTGATACAGCGAAACGCGTCCACGGATGGTCTTGCAGAGATAAAACACTTCTCAATCGGTCCTTAATTGGGCCGTTACCTAATTAATATCAATTGAACTAAAATGTCCGCCAAGAGGCACATAAACCCTTTGTTTGCTCATCAAAGTCACATGTTTTGGATAGGCTAATTGGTGTGTCACCATTTCCGACGTCATAACTAAGTCGTAAGCTGTTTGCACTAGCGGTCGTAGTTTAGAATTTAAATTTATGACGAAAAATATTATTTAATTTTGATGAACATGATAGGCAAAGAAGAAGATGAAAACCAGATCTAAAAAAGAATTGTTTCATTATGTTAATTAGGCCCGGTACTTTCACCTCAGTATAAATATAATTTATTCGGCGAATAACTATCTATCGGATAAGTAAACCAGAGGTTGCTATCTGTAGTATATCTCCGAGGGGTATTTTCAGGTAAAATTATCCTCGGGCTAACTACATTCAGTATTTCGGCAATGCTACACTGAGAAAATTTTTTCATTGTCATAGCTAATTTTTCTGCTGCCGTAGCCAAAAATTTTGGCTACATAGGGGACAGCCAAGATCTTTACTACCGCCGAAAAGATAACTTTACTGGCACCGTTTATTTGCGGTAGCAAAGTGACTTTATAAAGAATTTACTCACAGTTTCTACAAGGTCACTTTGCTGGCATAGAAAAGCTACTTTGCTGTCGTAGGAAAGTAACTATACTGTCCTAGAAAAGAGGTTATATACCCGCAAAAACATCCTTTTTTGCTATTGAAAAGTAGATTGCTAAGACAGAAAAGATATTTGTTGTTGTTATTAGAAATGCTTCCTGAAATAGGAAAGCGTTTGTCTCAGAACAAAAAATTTCTTGTCAGAATCAGCCAAGTGTTTTATTAGCCATGGGAAGTTATTTGTCTCACCAATAGCAAAAATATTTTGCTGGAAATCTTTGGAAATATGTAGTAGCGCGTCCATCATAACAAAACCAGGCGATAAACAAACTCTATTTAAACCCCTAAACTTTCATTACCTGATCTGAAATAATGTCAATTAATGAAAAGTTTGGCGCTAGAGTTGTTTCTGCTAGTTTTGATGGATGCGCTGGCACCATTTCCAAAAAGATTCCCAGCGACCGACACTCGACTTGACTCGACAGCATCTACGATCCACACCGTACGGCGTTAGCTACTAAACTAAAATGGAAGAAAATGAACACGAAACATATTTTATCGGTTATTTTATTGGACCCGAAGAAATCACGGAAATGACGGAACGGTATTTTTAGTTAAGTTATTTGGCTAGGGTAGCAAAAAACATTACTGTAACAATAACAAAAATTACAGGAATTTTTTTTTGCTGTAACAGTAAAGTATCTATCTATCTTAGAAAAGTTCTATTTCGGAGAAGCAGAAATATTTTCATAAAATTTTAATTTTGCTATAACAGCAAAGTTTGGTTTTGGAATAAGAAATATCTTTGCAGTTTCAATAAAGTAGTTTCAGCAAAGTGGTCTTTTCTGTAGAAGCAAAATAACATTGCTACCTCTAAAACATTTTCCACTGTAACAGCTAAAAAAAAAACCAGCAAAGAATTTTCTCCTGGGACTTTTCTCAGTGTAGTGTTACCAACCAAAGAAAGCAAAAAGTGAGAAAAACTTATGGGAAGTTGAATGCTTCAAATAGAGATAGAATATATCTCTTGTCTAGTTGCTTGTTTTTGTCGTGCCGCCGCATTCCACTTGTCATTTGACTGATTTGTGGTGGATTTGATTTTGACATTCATTTGTTTATGTTTTTTTTTGGAGAGAGAAGTTGCGTTTATGTTAAATAATTTTTGTATCGTGTAGTGGGAGTGGCTGATTAATCATCCATTAGTAGGGATGTCAATTTTTATCAAAACACCGGTTTTTCCATTAACCGGTTAATTTAGTTACAGTTTTAACTGCCCGGTTATAACTGATATAAAACACCGGTTATTCCGATTAACCGATTGTTCAGTTATTTCTCCGAATTTTATCAGAATAATTGCATTATTTATACTATAATGTAAAATTAGTTGAAAACAACAACATATCTTTATTGTAAAAAAAAATCGGGAACTGTTACATGTTAAGAAAAATCATCAAAGAATACCTACACTTTTCTTCTCTTCTGTCATTTTAAACATGAACCCATTGAGAATTTTACGATTTATTTAATAAGACAAGAGAAAAGTCTACATGTTTCACTTTCACCGGTTATAAGGTATGAAACCCGGTTATCCAGTTATAACTGGAAGCAAAAAACAACTGGTTTTAACCGGTTAACCGAAAAGAAAACACCGGTTTTTCGGTTTTAACCACCGGTTATTGACATCCCTATCCATTAGTCGTACGTGTATCTGAGAGATACATGCCTATTATTTTTGCAAATAAATCAAAAAGGAAAAACCCTATAATATTATGGCTTCTAGTAGTCCTTAGGCAACCTATACTAATTACTTTCTCAAAATTACATGGTCGTACCTCTACCTGGAAATTTGGAATTTCCAAAAAACTTCAGGTGCGCTCGGCTTTGTACCTGACTGATACAACGCGGCTATTCTAACAAAAAATAAAACTTTTAAGCCTAGTCTCCATGGACGCGAAATCGCGAATTTTTTTTTGCGGATATTTTCCGATTGGTTGGAATTTGACATTTAACATTTGATTTTTTTATGGCGGGAAAAATTCGCGAATTTTTTAACTTCTTGCGGCGTCGCAAAAAAGTTAACTATTTTTTAACTTTCCGCGAAATTTCGCCAAAAAAAAATGAGGTTATGTGGTGTTACTTTCAGTTTAGTTTTGTTTATGTTTTTGTCGGTATGTGCTCTGTTCTCTGTGAGTCGTTGATGTGTTTTGTACTTGTAGATACCTAATAAAGAATGGATACTGCCAAAGAATTGAATGTAGACCCGAAAACAGACATAAATTACAGCTTGCTGGTTGCGCGAGGAGCTATTCGGCAGATAAAACCGGTATTCTTAGGTCTGATCACAGGATACGTTAACTAAAGGTTAGCCCGCATTTATCTGATAGATATCACTATACGGATGTGAAAATACACTCGTTTTTCTTAATTTCTTATCTCTAGGATATTCTCTAATCTGGAGAATAAATATCGCTATCTGCAAGTGAAAGTACCGGGCCTTATGCCCGTATGCACCATTGCACAAATTCTCTGATTAAGACTTTAGCCGTGATCACAAAATATTTTTCATATGCACCAAGCGTTTTTTTCGCCTATTGGCAATTAACTTTAAATTGCTCGATGGCCTGGAATTTAGAACAAGATAACCGCGGCTAGTTAATAAAATGAGGTTAGATGTTTTGTTTGTTTTGGTTCCGATTTCAAATTTCATATTTACATTTTACAAACATTTTTGTAAAAAAAAAACTGGAACAAATAGAACTGAAATCAGGAATATGGAGGTGGAAAGACATTATTTGACAATGATTAATTTGGATAATGAAATTGTGTTAGATGGGTTTCCGTTTCCAAGGCGTTGGAATGAGAGGGAAAATTATTTTGAAGCCTTGGATGATCTGATCTATAAGCCAATGTCGTAGATCATAGATCTTCTTGAAGAGGTAGAAGATGCCCTATCATTATTATAGGGTGTAGTACCTACATTCTGTTATTTTTTGTGAGCCCAAAAGAATAAAAATAACAGCGCCATCTATAGTGAGGTTAGGATTGAATTAAAAATAAAAAAGCCAGTCGATGACGTGCAGCAGAACTGTGCACAGCGTTTTATTTTTCACCCGATTTTTAGAGGTTATGGGCCCAGCTTGGCAAAAATTCCGCAAAAATTGTGTTTCAATCGAGTGAAATCGTTGTAATTGTGCATAAAAAGGCTTTAAAAAATGTCCATAAACTACTTAGCAACCGTTCCGAAGCTCGCCGGTCGGGAAAACTACGACGAATGGGCCTTCGCGATCGAGAACGTGTTCGTGTTAG